ACTGATCTGGCGTCATCAGAGTATCATTATTTATCAAACAAGATTCACCTGTGACTGGTTCAACTGCAGACAAATTTACCATGCTATCTGGCTGAAAGAAATTTGTTTTCTCTGCACATTTTTCATCATGATCAAAAGATTCTCCAGTGTTATTTTGTTTAATACCACCTAATGGAGACATGCTGATCACCTGTGCACAGTTTTTGTTTGTGTCATTCACCTTATCATTATTTAATATTGCTTCCACATCGGCTCCTAAGTCCTCTAAATCAGATGTAAATCCATAGTCAAATGAATCTTTCTGGCCAGCATCATCCAGACCCCCCAAAGCTAAGCTGCTGCACTCCACTATCAGTTTTCACTGCATTCATTATAAGTGGCCTCCCTTGGCTACTTTCCTTTTGGATTACATTAGCTCTTGGTTCATCTTGATCTAAATTAGGCCTATATATAGTGTTGTCAATTTTCATACTACATGACGGAGATACGCTAATGACCTGTGCACAGTTTTTGTTTGTGTCATTCACCTTATCATTATTTAAGATTGCTTCCACATCGGCCAGACCCTCAAAAGTATGCTGCTGCACTCCCCTATCAGTTTTCACTGCATTCATGAGTGGCCTCCCTTGGCTACTTTCCTTTTGTTGAAATAAATTTGCTCTTGCAACAGACTTTTGAATTTTCTCCACTTTGTCAATAAGTTTGTCAAGTTCAGCTTCCACTTTCTGAACAAGCATAAGTCTTTCCTTATCATAATATGAATAAACAGCTGCGTTCAACTCTGTGTTTCCCATATTTGAAGCAAGAGCATGGTATCTTCCCATTTCTATCTGTCCAACATTTGTGCTGTATTCATTGTCCACTTTTAATCCATCAGCACTGACATACGGGTTATTCCGAACCTTCAGTAATTTATCCTGAAGCTGCATGTGTCTCAGATAAACATTCTGACAGCTACGAATGGCACCAGGAGAAGAATCCATCGATGGCAAAGGCATTAAATTCCAGCTTGTTGTGATCAAATTTGCTGGAACTTGAACCCCATTACATTCTTGGTTTAGTAATATTTGCGGATCTTGAAACATTGGGTTCCTCTGAAGGTTGTTTAGATATCCTGAGTTATATGTGGTGGAGACACTGGGTACTACAGGTGAAAACATTCTATAGGTACTGTGTGGATTACTAGGTGGTGAGGTCATCATGGAGAAATCTGTGCCTTTTTGAAGATCTGAAGCTTGACTGGACCTCCTTACAGATGAGGTTGCTAACTGTCCAACAAAGGGATTAACATAGTGGTGGCCTTGTACTTGGTTGTATGCAGGGGAGACTCTGGGTGGTACAGGTGTCAACATCCTATGATTACCATATGGGTTACTAGGTCCAGAGGTCATCCTTGAGGCATCCATGGTTTTCTGAAGTCTGTCTGAAGCACCACTTGGGGGATAGCTGTTACCTGCAGATGAGTATGATAACTGCCTATTATTAGCACTGGGTGGGGCTTGTCTCTGCACTTGACTGTACACTGGACCATTATAAGGCATGTTACCATTATTTGAACATTCATTTTGTCCACTGTTATAATAGTTTGGAATATCCATCCTTCAGTCCTTTTTCACAGCAACTTTGTACAGACTTTGCATCAACTTTGTCTTTAAATCTTAGTTTTTATCTAGTTCTGACACTGGCATAAATTTTACCTCACATGGAATCAAAATGTTCAGTACAAATAAATTCACTTATTCAATCCTGATAAGAGACACTGCTATGCAGCAATAGCACTAATAAAATGCTACAGAGAGATACCTATATATAAGAATAATGACACTGAGAAAGCTATTAAAGTCTCAAATTAAACATACACTTGACACTGAATAATTGTTAACAAATTAAAGAAAATAAAACAAAAGTGAAACAATGAAAAACATTGTCCAAATTGGAGCTTTTCAATCTCAAGAAGTAATGTCAGGATTATTACAACCTGATTACATAAACTTTTCTTTGAAAATGATATGGTCCACTTAAGCAACATCAGTTCTACAGACCCAATCAAATTTTTCATTGTTCTAATTTCCACATGAATGCTTCACAAACATTCTAAGGCAGGTGGCTGAAGGTGTCAATTATTCAATAATGGGATTAATGAAGGGTGTACTGGTAAATAAAGGCATTTCCTGAGCAATTAGTGGAATAAGCTCCCTCAAAGGGACTACTCACACACTCCACTTAAGCAGTTCTATAGACCAAATCAAATTTTTCATTGTTCTAATTTCCACATAAATGCTTCACAAACATTCTAAGGCAGGTGGCTGAAGGTGTCAATTACTCAATAAGGGGATTAATGAAGGGTGTTCAGGTAAATAAAAGCATTTCCTGAGCAATTAGTGGAATAATCTCCCTCCAAGGGACTACTCACACAATTTCAGCTCAGTGCCAGTTATAAAAGGATATTGCAGATTGTCTTTACATTAAAAAAAAAATAAATGCAATAACAATAAAATGTAGCATTAAGTAATCCCATGATGTATTCTTATAAAAAAAGAAAAGCTATGAAATTCAGAATGAAAAGATAAGGCAGCATTATCACATAAGATTAATGAATTTTTGTCAAAATACATTAAAGATTTTATGATACATTTGGGCCTAAAAGTTTGAAGAGCTGTAACCTTCCCCAAACAGATGAATAATCATCAGATCTGACAATGTCATCAAAGATGCTAAATATAAATTTGAACATCTTTAGTAAGGAAGCCTTGAAATAATTTTCATGGAAATATATTAAAATTAATATATATTAATATAATTATTTGAATACATTAAAGCAAAATAAATAATCAAAATTTAAATAAGTGGAAAAAAGAAAATGCTCAAATTTAATCTTTAAATCAGACATATCCTCATGTCATTTCACATTTTTGAAGTCTAATATTTGAACATAAATTTACTCTTATATGGAGATTTGTACACACTTCACCTACTTTTGTTTAAATTAAATTTAGTTTCTTAGAATGTTGATTAATCATTTTATGCCTTGTACATTTTAAATAATTATTGCAATGTGAATATTTATGTTATATACTTTTGCACCATGACTGAATTTTGTAATATTTTCTAAATTTATTGCACACCTTGACCTTATCTGGAATATTTATAAAATTATTATAAACTTTGACTTTTTTGTAATATATTTTAAAACTTAATTCAACTTTTTGTAATATTTTTTTTTCAATTAATTCAACTTTGTTTTCCAATATGTAATGACATCAAAATCAGGATAAAGGATTTACTTACTAAGAGTTTCCTCCTCATAAAATATTCAAAATAAAATTTCTCAAATTTTCACCAAGTTACATGCCTTCAATCAAAATATCACTCATAATTTTAATTTTCACTGTTTTGTAGAAGAGTACAATGTCAAGTTCAGGTAAATTGACACTTGTTTGAATTCTATCATAAAATATTGGAGAAATTTTCATTCTAAGACAATAATATTCATTCCAAGACAACAATAATAGTGTTTATTTGTAATATAGGCCACTGTTACATGATGCATATCTATAAAAAAAATCCAAACCTCACACAGACTGGAGTTGATTGTATCTAATCTGCATTATATCAGCACAGTTAACCATTTGCTAACAGCTATTTAGCTGCTAAAGTTAGCTGAAAGCATTCAGTTTTTTTTGTGTTGAATTTTATCAAAACTCAGTCAGTCATATACAAGATTTAATAAAATGCACAGATCTCACTTATTATACAAGCAAAGACCCATATAAATTTTGATTTTCCAACTTTGAACCAAATCAGATCTAACTTAGTCAACAGCAATCACAGTTAGAAAGAACTTACATACTTACATGTATACCTATTTCATGCTCAGACTCATTAAACATCACAATATATAAAATGCTATTTAATGCTCAATCCAAATAATGTAGTTGGAAGACTGAACCAATCAGATGTAAGATCAACTCATTAGTATGCATAGGTCTTGTTCTCAAAATAAAACTTGAAAATCTTTATGATAATTGTTACCATCTTAGCAAATTTAAAAATTTTTATAGAATGGGCCAGAAATTATAAGAATTTCCAGCAAACTGATGCTAGCTCAGTCCATTAACATATGCAGTCATGTTTATAGCTAAACTCATTGGACAAATTTGATATCTTCAAAGTTTAATGAAAACTGGATCAGATCTGATGCCAGCAAAGTCCATTAACATATGCAGTCATGTTTATAGCTAAACTCATTGGACATTTAATATCTTTAAAGTTTAATGAAAACTGTATCAGATATAGCTTCTAGTATGGTGGTAACAAGCTCATCCAGTCGGATGCAATACCACCTCATTTATATGCACAAATCATGCTCAATGTAAATTTATTTCAGAGATCCTGATGATACAAGTCCATATTCCAAGTGTTATAAAAATTTTGACCATAAATAGGACATTCAGATTGGTAAAAAGCTCAGCCAATCAGATGTCAGACCACCTCATAAACATGCAGATCTGTTTCATTTTTGAACTTGTCTGAAATCTTGATGATAGAAGCCCATGATATTCCATGTTTGAATATGGCCTCCAGTTTGGCAATTGCTAAAGGAAAGGACAATTGATTATGGCCAGTGCAGGGTCATATTTACCTGTGAATAAGGTCATCAAGGACATTGCATGCCAACCTCACCTGACCTAATGAAAAAAAAAACAATAGGAAGGAAGCAAGAAATAGGCAGATAGATTAGGAAGACAGTTATGTGCATATGTGATGTGGTGTGTTTTTTAATGTAGCTTTAAAAAAATTTCAGTCATATAGATACAATGTCTGCAGTGTGGCAGTTTATAGTGATGTCTAGCACTGGGACATCATGCCGCAGACATGAAGCATGATGTCCCACCCAGTCACATTATCCTGACACCAGGCCATTCAGTCCTAACACTAACCTCTTAATGCTGAGCATCAAGCAAGGCAGCTTTTAGTACTATTTTTGTAAGCCTTTGGTATGACTCGACTGGGAATTGAACCCACGACCTCCTGCATCCAAGGCAGACCCTCTAACCATTATACCACCATAACGGTCAGTCATGTGCATATGTATATAAACAGGTACAGTAAAAAGGTACATGTAGCTAACTGTAAGGAAAAAAGGTGCATAAGTGAATAAATAAGAATGGAATAGAGATATTAAGGTATAGATAGGAGGAAAGACAAGCATATGCCATTATCCATGAGAAATCACAAGACATCCAAATCAATATAAAATAAATATATTTTATTTTTATTTGTTATCACTCTACATGATACACATGTCTTACATTATTTGCAATAGCTTATTATCTGTTACGAAATAACCAAGACATTTAGGATCACATTACTGTTAGCTTTAGAAATTTTCATGAACATGTACAAAACAAAATACAGTATAACAAAGATTTCCAAACATAGTTCAAAAGAAATAAAGAAAGCATAAAAGTATTTTGAACAATGTAATAGGTACAAAACCAGAAGTTACTGATACAAAATACACTTCAATAAGGCCAACAGTAATTAATTTAGATGATCTTAATAAGTAAGACACAAACATAATCCCAAAAACTTTTGCACTTTTAAAATCTATTGATTTCCTCTATACATTTTGCATTTTTTCTTTTGTACTGATAACAATTTTTTACTTGTCTGATCTACATTGTTATGTTAATACACAGTAATATTCATTAGCTGATAAAATTAATATTCTTGCGATGCTTATCTCTGACCATGCAAGCTGTATGAACTCCATTCAGCAGATATATTGGTTAAACTTTCCTAATAAGCTTATCTGTTATTTAAAAAAAAAAATAAAAGTGTACAGAACCAAAATAAATTCAAATATGTACACTCATTCAAGGATCTACAGCTACCTATCTGACATACACAACTTGCATGAAATTTTCATTTGCATCTTCATCATCAATTTCAGGCCTGACTCAGTATTGTAACAGTTATGTGAGACAGTTTTCATAACAATAAGAATAAGTCTTGCCCAATACTGAATCTACTTTATATGTTTGTGATGTGATTTTGATTTTTAATGAAGCTTTAACAATTTTTCAGTAATATCGTTACAATGTCTGCAGTGTGACAGTTTATAGTGATGTCTACAGACATGTAGCATGATGTCCTACCCAGTCACAATATCCTGACATTAGGCTGACCAGTCCTAAAACTAACCTCTTTATGCTGAGCGCCAAGCGAGGAGGAATCCGCTAGTACCATTTTTTGTAAGTCTTTGGTATGACTCAACCGAGGATCGAACCCACGACTTCCCATATCCAAGGCAGACCCTCTAACCACTAGGCCACTGGAGCAGTTAAATCTACCGTATGTCCTTGTGGGTCAGTCTTACAATTTTATAAGTAGTCTCTATCTCTTAACTTGGTAACACATTATCAAGTCTCACTGGCATATTCATGGTAATGCATTTACCACTCAAACAATAGTAAGTGACAAAAATCTCTGTAACATGTGGTTCAGCCTACAAAATGCCTGATTTATTAACAGGATTGATACTGACTTTTGTCTCAGCCATAATGAACTTCCTTTATAACATGTTGGATTGAATACATTCACAAGAGACTCGCTCATTTACATTTGTCATATTTACAATGAGGCTAAATCTTGTAAACAGACTGTGTTTTAATTCACCTTGGTTTCATCAATATTCAGGTGTGTCACTCCCTTTTGACTTAGATTTATCAATATCAGATTCCAATAGGATCTCATTTACAGGATTTCATTCCTGTCCATGTGCAACTTTATCATGTTTATGTATGATCAAGAAACTGCTATTCAATCTTATTCACAATACTAATGCTTTTCTTTAAAAAGGCAAAAAGATCACTCTTTTGTCCTTCAAAAACCTTAACATTAAAAAGTTGGCCATAAGAGAAGATAGTATATTCTTTAAAATTATGTCATTTAAATTGGGCTTGTGACAATTTCTTTCACAAAGAACTATTCTAGATCCACAAAAGGTCATATCTCTTCCAAAATTTACACCCACAAGCACAACTTTGATGGCTTGCCATTGCAGCACATGCTTTTTACTGCATGATGGTATTTAAACTGCACCACAACCAGTAATAGCACCCAACCTCCACAGTGATGCAGTAGTAATATATGTCAGTTAATTATGAAGTTTGGTCAGAAAATAATGGAACATTTTTTTATATATCTTGAACACTCCTTCCCAGAACTAGCAATCACAAAGAATCCCAGCCCTCATGTACATGGTTAACACAAGTTAAAGACAACTACAAAAACTACCTGGCAGGATACGTAGTAACACTCTCCAACTGACAGATGAATTATCAAAGTATACCCCCTTTTAATATTAAAGTAGAGGAATACATATTATATTCATACAATTATGCTGAAATGATTTCAGATTGACATCTGATAGATGGTTGAAGTGATGGAATGAGAAAAAGGCAAGTTGTTCTTTTGTCCACATCAGTAATAAGCAAAAGATATATATGAAATGCACATAAAAAGCATATACAAACACTTCAATATACCATTTATTCAGACAACATAATCTCATAATTAAACTTTATCCTCCAGAAATGTTAACAATGAAAAGCATTATAGCTAAAATTCTGCCTTTTTATAAAAGAATATTCTATGTTAATTACAGCTACCAGTCATCAGAATCACACCTTGGAAACAAAGAAATCCTTTTCTAAAACACAGCAGTGGAATTTTTATTGATAGACACAAATTGACTATGGAGTTCTTTCAAAATATTGCCAGATTCACTTAGAGATAATGTACATCTAACAAAGAGTGAAGAACTTTCAGTCTGAGTCCGAACTTGAGTTCTGCGTCAAGTCAATGAAAAAGAATGCTGGTTTTGTAATGCCAGTTCTGACTGGCTGAATGTAAAAACTCAGTCTCAAACTCCAAGTTTTAAAAAAATGGGCATGCAGACTCCATTTACATTATGGATTACAATGCCAGTTAGTAACATGTTCTAGTCTGGTTTATATTCATGTTTACAAAAGATTAAATCAAGGTCAGTGGCATTTATACCAGTTGTTGTGATGCTACTAAAATTTATAGTCACTTGTTGCATTCTTCAAATGGTCACTCTCAACAGTGAGTTTATATAATAAATTATTATTATGATTATTATTATAAAATCAAGACTGATTTCTTGTCAACAAAAACTGTCACTATTTGAGCAGTTGTCCAATTGCATAAGAACTTTTTGTGTAATTTCAGTAAAAACAATTTTAATATTTAATGCAGATTCTGCAACAATGGATTTCAAAGATATTTGTTGTTATGCTCTTATGAATAGAAATTTTGCATGATTTGATCATGTCATTGTTGCCAACATAACACACTTTAAATTTAACTTTACTGGAAGAACAAAATACATAGTCATATCCTATGAACTTGTCAGCAAAACACTGAAATTCCCATTTCCAACTATTAGTGAATCAGTGAAATATTTATGTTGCTTGAATTTTTGGTGCTTTGGTATTGGCATGCTTACACATTGTGGAGAAAATCAAGGTAATGTTTACATTTTTATTTAGTAATCATAATCAGCCAACATTTTTAATCTTTATGGAATTACTTCTGCTCACACACAGTAGAATTCTCCTTGACAACTTCAAATAATTAAGCCAGCTGACCATGCAGACAGGATCAAATGGTAAAATTAATAACTACATTGCCTTTCTGTGCTTAAGACAGTTCATGCAATCACAGGCAGTAGTTCCATAAATATAATATGCTGGAACCAAAAAAATGAAGAAAAAAGGGAAGAAATTAAATTTCAGTGAGTGATGAGATTCGCCCATAAACATTTTGAGAATAACCATTTAATGTGAGAGGTTCACATGTAGATGACATTGTTAAAACCAGGTACATATAGAAGGTGTAGTTCCCACTATCAGCATTAGGTATATACATTAATAATGGTTTTGTTGATGACAGCCACTCCCTCGATAACTCGCGAACCCGCTTATAACGCGGTGTCCGGCATGGTTCCCGACTTTTTCCCAAGGAAAATATATTTTAAAATGTGTTCAACATGAAAAAGTCGTGATAAGAAATTGTAAATTGGCAAATTTAACCTTGATACATAGTTCGTTTTTATCATCGAAAATGGTGATTATCGTCTTTTCCGGGGTATAAGTCGCTACTTTTTCGTTGTTTTTTTTTTTCCTTCTTAAAAATGACGTGTGCGACTTATATGCAGGAGCGACTTATACGATAAATAATTTTTTGAACGACTGTGACTGATGCGCAGTGATGATGTGCTTCAGCGAAATGCATCTGCCGGTATACGGGCAAGCCAATTGCTGGAAACTTACATACGGTACACGTAAGTATTAGACTATACGATTATCAAATTAAATAATCAAATAATATTTATTTATATATGTGTTAAAATTTGTTGTTATTAATAAATAAAAAAATATTGAAATAACGATTGCCATTGTATTTCCTTTATTATTCGGCATGTACATCTTAGAATCTTTCGGTCTCTAAATTCTGTCGTCGTAAATTTCAGCACATTTTCCCACCCAAGGTGCTATTCAAAGTCCTTTGAACTTGCCGCCCAGCTATTGCGTCATGTTCTTTTGAGGTACTCGAATACCGAATGCAGAACTGGGATTATTTTGTTATTTTAAACAACGAATGATGTCCCTGTAAAGCGTTTCCGAGACCTCCGTTAGCGCTTCATAATTTACTTTAATAGTAGTTCATAAAAACAATCATTTTTTCGGTCGGTTTCGCGATGTCTTGTTATAAAAAAGCAGGAATATTTTCTCTGATGATTGCTCTAGTTTTAAACTCTGGATTAAGCCAAGACTGGCTTCATGGAGAGAACTTCAAAGTACCGGTAATTAATATAAAAAAAAAATAATTGGAAGGCTTGGGAACAGTTTCAATTGTTAGGTGAATTCGCAAGGTCTTCGTTAATGTATTAAAATCACTAGCGTGTGTATATATATATATATATATATATATATATATATATATATATATATATATATATATATATATATATATATATATATAAAGTGCC